CTGAAACCATTCTTCTTAGCAGCTTCCTGAACGTCACGAAATAAAAAAAAATCATTCAAATGGATCACTTCGGGCTCCAGTACTCTGTTGAGTCTGTGAGATCCATTGGGAACCGAACATTTTCTATTTGAGATTTGTAATAGCGCCATCTTCTACATGCTATAGGTAATAAAGTCATTTTATCGAACTAAAACTTATTGACTTTCAAGGATATCACAGTTTCACAGGATATGCGACTCAAACAGTAAAGAGATAGAACGAAATAAATAGAGTAGTTGATAGTTTTCTATATATTCAACAGTAGTGCATCATTTTGGCCGACCAACGACAAAACTGTTTCCGAGCTGTTTTTAAAAGAATTACGTCAAATGAAAATTTACTCTCTCATCTTTTTAAATAATATAAGAACGTATTGCACATTTTTTCGTATTTTTAAACTAAAAAAAGAATAAAATTATAATTGTATTTTTGCCATTTCCAAATTATTCTTATTTCGAAAACAAATCAAAAAAGATATAAATTTTTGTTGTCCCGTTAAAAAATCCGTAAGCCGTTAAACACAATTTTTTCCCGTTGCCAGCCTCACTGTCCCGTCAAATCTAACGGAAAACCCGTCAAGTTGGCAACACTGACTGAGATGTTCAACGTCCAGATGTCATAGTACCGCGGTTACCATAGATTAAAATTTAACTTTTGTTCCGATCTACACAGTATGAACTTATGGTATCTTGAAGTCTTGCAGTTGTATGCCTCGGTTGGGATTTAATTTTATTTATTATAGGATCCGAAGCAGATGATAGCACCCTGGCTGGGTGCTACCATCTGCTTCTGCTGATCCGAAGCAGATGGTAGCACCTAGCCATCTTCTCTATTGAAATTAGGATGTTTTTTGATTTCAATAGCCTCGCGACTCATGCTTGGAAGGAATCGGTGTTCTTTAGCGAGGATTTGTGGTCTATCAAATCTGATGTAGTGACGGTGGCGATCCTGTACGTGTTTACAGACTGTAGACTTCCCGGAAGTTTTATAAAGAGAGAAAAAAACAAAACCCCCCAAAAAAAAAAAAAAAAATTTTTTTAAAAAAAAATTTTATTTTTTTTTGCTAATATTGTTGACTTTAAAAAAGGAATGGTTTTAGTGTTTTAATTACATTTTCCTATTAATTGATAAGTGGTTAAGGTAAAAGTGCCAATTTCTACAACCAAAAGACTGACTAGTACTATATAGATGTAGAGACCTAATGTAAATTTATAATAGAACTTGAATTTCTTATATATATTGTTTTAATTTTGATTCCCTTATCTTGTTTTATTGATTCTCCTGGCCAAAAAAATTTAAAATGCTATATTTTAGGAACCAACCGGCCAAAAATGATGCCTGTTCCTTAAACGTGTTTATAATTAAGTTAAATTTTGTGTTACATTGTTACTTGAAAAAAATCTGTTTAAATAAATTTCGCCAAGGGAATCAACTGAATATGCCAAATCTCAGGATTCACCCTTAACAAAATAAATTCAGATATATTAAGCGAAGTAGCAGGAGAAATAACAGAGTATTTGTCGGTAGACACATTATGGACACAGAACAGAGCACTTCATATCCCGTAGAGTTTCTAAATTCTCTAGAGTTGTCAGGTGTGCCATCACATAAGCTTCAATTATAATTAGACCACGAAATATAGATGCTCCTCGGTTATGTAACGGGACAAGGCTGCGTGTGACACATCTTGGATGGAACATAATCGGTGCTACAATTTTGACAGGCGTAGGAAAAGGTGAAAATGTTATTATACTACGGATCCCTATAATTCCCACAGATCTTCCTTTTCAATTCAAAAGGTTGCAGTTCCCTATTAAGCTCAGTTTTGCAATGACAATTAATAAAGCGCAAGGGCAAACGTTACAGGTAGCGGGGGTCAACTTAGAAAAACCGTGCTTCTCTCATGGTCAGCTGTATGTAGCATGTTCGCGTGTGGCAAATGCCGAGAATCTCCACATTCTTTCCCCGAACGGAAAAACATATAACATTGTGTACAGTAGCGTCTTAAAATAATGTTCAATTAGTTTTTTTTTCCAAAATTCCCACAATCAATTAATCAGAATCCCCACAGATCTTCCCTTTCAATTCAAAATTTCCTATTTAGTCAGTTCCTTTTCAATTCCAAATGCTGCACCTCTGACTTACCTATTAAACTCAGTTTCCTTTCAACTCAAAATGCTGCATCTCTGACGGATCTTTTATTTGGCTCAGTTTCCTTTCAATTCAGAAAACTGCATCTCTGACGAATAAGTTTAGCTCAGTTTCTTTTCAAAAGTCTGCATCCCTGACGGATAATTATGCTCAGTTTCCTTTAATTAAAAAATATCCCATTTCCATTTGGAATAAACAGGCTATTTTCATGCTTTCCTATACGCTGCGTTTCAAAACATTTAAATAGGCTGACGAATCAATTTTGCTCAGTTTCCTTTTAATTGCTGCATCTCTGACAAATCTATAAAACTCAGTTTTCTTTCAATTCAAAAAGCAATGGATAGTTCATTTCCCAGTGACCATGCGGGCGAAGCCGCGGGTAACAGCTAGTAGTTCATAAAAGATAGCTTGATCTCTGCGACAGCTGTCAGTAAAATTACGCCTATGAAGTCCTGAATTTCTTAGTAGTACAGACAGATGACATTGACAGGTACTCTATGTACTACTAAGAAATTCCGGACTTCATAGGCGTGATTTTACTGACAGCTGTTGCAGAGATCAAGCTATCTTTTATGAACCATACATCCAGCTTTTTATATGATTATATGTCTAAGCCTATGGTAATGTGTCAGATTTCGCGGAGATTACTTCGAAAAGCAATAAATACATTTTTAAGTAGTAATATTGTGTCACTTCCTTGATTCCCGAAATTTTCAGTGCCGCCCTCGTACTCTGTATACCCTCTATGGCAGCTACATATTTTTTGTATTGAGGATTCCAACGAATAGAACAATGTTCCAACACGCTGCGGACTTATGAAAAATAAAGTGCTTTAATGCAACTTAAATCATTGAAAGGTTTGGTGACACGCATGATAAATCCAAGATTTTTTGTAGGCTTTCATGTTGAATGTAATGTGTTCTGAAAAGGTTAGTTTGCTATCTAAAGTTACTCCCAAGCCTTTAACGCTGTTTGCTTTTGTTATGGGATGACTTTCAATGTGGTAAGAATACTGTATACGTTTTATTTTACGGGTAAACGTGATTGATATATATTTTTCAATATTAGCTGTTATGCGGTTATTTTTATAGTATAGAGCAAGTCTATTTAAGTCGTTTTGGAGGAGCTGACAGTCCCTTTCTGAGTTTATATTCATATATATTTTCTTGTAATCTACATATAGAAGAAAATTAGCGTGTTGTAAACATGTTCCTATATCATACAGGTAGGCTATATACAGGAGAGGACCAAGCAGAGATCCCCGTGAACACCCGAAGGGACGTTTATGTAATCAGACTTGAAACCACCTATAATTACAGCTTGGCTGCGGTTAAAAATATAAGCTTGGAACCATCTTAACAAATCGCCACAAATCCCAAGCGCTTGCAGTTTTTGGAGCAGGATGACATGACATGATCCACACGGTTGAATGCTTTTTCGAAGTCCGTATAGATCACATCAACCTGCAAACCTCCGTCCATCCCACGTAGGACGTCATTCATAAATAGATATAGATTGGTAGTTGTCGAGCGACCTTTAACGAAGCCGCGTTGTTCGGGTGGAATGGAAGGTATCAATAGTGGATACACGTTATTATATACTATTTTATCTAAAACTTTACTAAAGGTATTTAATATTGAGATTGGTCTATAGTTTACGATTTTGTTTTTCTGCCCTTTTTTGTGTAAAGGTATTATGTGCTTGCTTCCATAGTATTGGGATACCACCTTCTTTTAAAGATCTATTATATAAAATACATAGAGAAACACAGAGAGCCGCTGCGCAATTAACTATAAATACTGGTGGTATGTTTTCTGAGCCAGGTCTTTTAGTCACGTCCAAACTTTTAAGGTGTTTGTGCACTAACTCATCTGTTACTTGAATGTCAATTATAGTATTAGTAGATGATGGAACTTTTGGTGAGAATATGTTAGGGCAGGCTCATTGAACATTTTTTTAAAGAAATCAGCTAACGCCATGCTTCCTTTTTTCCTTCCTTAGTTCCTTCGCTAGTTTTTTTGCTCTGGTACGAAGAAGTGCAAAAGCATCATAGTCAATTGGATTATGATGAAGCTTCCAAAAAGTGTGAAGTTTATTTTTTTTTCTTTATGATGTTGATGAGAGCTTTATTATACCAAACAGAAAAATTAAAATTGTTTCAATAAACTTTTTGAATTTACACACGTGTATACGTCACAGTCACAACTCAGTTAAGACTAAAGGGTTTCGTCTAAAAGAGGTTTTTTTTCGCCTAAAACTGAAAAAATAATGGCTAAAAGATATTATTTACAATTATTAGTTTTGACCAAGACTAGTAGTTAAATATACTTTTGACCAGAAGCTGGTATTTAGTAAAAAAAAGTTTGATATTAAAAGGAACGGAAACGTTTCTTTCAAAAATCAAACTTTTTTTTCTTCAATCAATAAATCAACTTTAGAACAGACTAGCCAGCGACAGCACCACAGCACAGCTTGAGGTGCCGACGACTCACAACATTTCCATCAAATTAAATATTTATAATTAAGTTTAACTGTCGGACACTCCTATCTTCAACAGGAGGGGGGTTAGTGATCAAATTGAGTAAACTACCTAACAACCTTCGTATAAGTAACTATTATGATTCTATATATAAGTACACAGTAGATACATAATACATAACGAAGTAAGGTTAAATAAAACATACGTATTACAAAACTCGTATGTATAATTTTAAATAGACAAAAACAGATATATAAAGTAACATAACATAACTTAAACAATAAATTTAACATGAATTGATTTCATGAAAATTGATTTAAAAGGTTAACAATTAATATATAAATTCTGACAAAGACAAGGCAGCGAAAACAGTAAACACTAAAATAGAGTAAATAGTGACTAGAATATCTCTCTTGATTCTGAGCATGGAATTAAAATCCTTTTGGTTTTTATGATATACACTATCATCATTTCCTTTTCTATCAGCTAATTGATCATAATTTTCCACTGGATCATCACTTTGCTCAGGTTGGTTAAAAGATTGGATATATGGCATCTCTTTAATTTTATTTAAATATAAAGTACGATAATCATATAAAGATACAAGTGAATGATTAGAGGGTTCGCTTATAGTACCCGTAAAAGACTTTAAAGTATTTCGATGCTCTTCTTTCGGTATACTTAATTGAGAAGGGACGTCCGTAAACGCGTTAGTGCATTCTTTATATATGGTTACAGTCACTTCCTTGTCAATATACTTTGGCTCTATTGTATTGGCAATTTTAACAGTTTTCTGAGTAACATGACCTAAATCATCATCAAAGTTCCGTATTAACTCAGATTCAAGTGCATTTGATTGATTTTTGCTCGTTATGCAATTTCTATTCAAACAAAATGATGTAAATACATGAGGTACATAACAGTTCGGATCTGCACTTGGGTTACATGGTTGCTTTGTTTCAGTTTTATCTTCATCCCTCGCTTTGAGACTTTGATATTTTGCTATGTTTTCAATTTCATCCAAAAGTTCAGCTAAAATATCAAGTGATGTAGTATTAGTAACGTTTTCATTTTCGTTAGTGGCCTTTATGGTATCGAATTGAGCATTTCTTTTAGTATTTATTAAAAGTTCAGACGAATCTGTACAATTATGAACAATTTTTTCAGTTATCTTTGTTAAACCAGCCGTACTAATACCAGCATCAATATGTATACCTCCTTTAACTGATTGTAAAGTTTGTACTGCTTTTTCATCATTAGAATTTTTCGGTTCTTTATTAGTTAATTGAAAACCTGATTTCTCACTATCGATAAATTTAATTAGAGTGTTAGAACCACATTTAATAGACTTAAATTTAGGAAAACTATATCCTATTGTTGCAACATTTATCGGTATGTTAAGATTACTCCAATCTAAATAGGATTTAGAAATTTCGGAGAGCTGTGTTTTTTCACGTAACTTATCACGTTTTTGACCGTTTGGGTAATTATTTTGTGCAGTGCACGATTTCACTAGTAGTGAATTAGCATCACCACATTGTAACAAAAACACCTGATGCATAGATGGTTTAGGCGTCAGGGTTAAATTTTTAATTTTTAAGCGCTTCTGGAAGACGCCTTCTGACATTTGTTGATATAAAGCTTTTTCGAAATGTTTTATTCCATCACTTATCGTATCGTGTTCTGGAATAACAGTGTTTGAAAGAAGTTTATCAAGTTTTTCATTACCTTGTGTCTCCTCCTTAATTTGTTCATTTCTTTGGTTTCGTGTAGGTATGCTTGATACGGCTGTTAAAACGTCTTTATCTTCTAATATATCCGCTACACCATAATCTGAAGAAATTGATACAAGCTCTTCATCCTTCGATACGTTTTTTGACATTATATAATTGTTTGCTTCATTGAATAATGTTAGTGTTTTTACGGATCCGTTATGGACTATATGATTACTGACGGATAATTTAATTTCTGTTGGCTCTTGTGATACAAGAGATGATGAGATTCCTACAGTAAAAAATATTTAAATGATTCCATGTTTACCCAGGGTTATGTGAAAAATATCCACAACTCTTTATTTATGAATTAATATTAAAAATAAAATGTTTATTTCATGCCTTTTTATTGCCTGAAATAATTCCATCAATAAAAAAAATAGTAAGTCCAAACCTCGTTGGCTCGAGCCATCCCAACTATTTCAAATTATATTTTTGCCTTTAACAGTGTCACCATTCATTCGTTTTAATCTGCAATGTCAGATAGTCCAGAGGTTTGGCAAATTTCTCCTGATCGCAGTTAAACAGCAAATTGTAAAACGAGTAATTTATTCGAAAAATAAAATAAAAATAACGTGTTTAGTCTTATTTTAGTTATAACTAATAAAGTTACAGCCTATATACGTCCCACTGCTGGGCACAGGCCTCCTCTCATTTCTGAGGGGTTATAACTTATAATACAAAAACATTTCACTTTTAATTAAATTAATTCAGAATTAAGAGAGTGAGTATTATTCAAATAACCCCGTATAAAGAAAAAAAAGAAAGGATATAATTTTTAATGAAAACCTATGCATGTTGCTTCTCTGCTTTGTTGTGAAAAGTTTGGAGCAGGGGTGGTCTGTGACTTATATGGTTTTTGGAGTAAATTGCTTGAAGCAGCTGTTTGCGTTAGTGAAAGTTGTCGATTATGCTTTTTTAAATTCAACGACTCAGTGGGTATCGCCTTCTTACTGAAAGATTGTAATAATAATGTTAATGTTGGTTTTTTAAATGCATAATAAGCGAACACACTGTCCACCTAACGGTAAGTGGATGTTGTGACCCATAGACATCTACATTTATCCTCGATTAAGAATGAAAATGCAGAAAATATATTCTCACCCGTGAGGACTAAGATAAGAATGCCTCGTTTTCCGAAAAAAAAAATGGTCACGGGTTCTCTTTACTCATCATATGAAACACGCTGGTATTCTGTGAGAGCGTGTGTGAGACCCCAGTCGAGCCATGCTATTCGTGCTACAATCATAATATAGCTTTAACGTGTTGCTATCTTTTTTAATTTTTGGCAGCCTTTATTTATATATACAAAATAGTAATTTTGGTCCATCGGAGCCCGGTCTTCGCCAGCATAGGAGGCGTGCTGGATCTGATGCAGGTGTATGCGAAATTGTTAGGGCTTTTATTTTGTTTACTTACAACTGTCGTGAATTTTCAGGAACATTTCTTTGTTTATAGGACGTTGTATTTATAGGCGGTATTTTATTGTCAATAGGGAAGTTGTTGATTGTACGTTTCTGTCTCGTTGGTTTTTCTAAAATAAAATAAACATATATCTTTATTTTTTGTTTTTTGTTTTAGTTTAAGAACTACATGGCATCTGTGAAAAGATTTGTCCAATAATCGCGAATACAAACCTGTAGTTGTTAAATTACGGGGTGATTTAGAGTTTAATGTGGTGACATTTTCCTGTTCGTTTCTTTTCGGTCTAAATTTGTTATAGGTAGAAGTTGAAACTGTAGGCTTTTCTGGAATTTGTGGTGCCGCAAACTTTAAATGCGATAATTTGTCAGGAATAGTATTTTTTCCATGCCTAAATATTATGCCTCCATTTTGAGTGTTGATATTAAGCCTTTTTGGTTGAGATAGACTATCCAATCTTGTATACGGTTTAGAAGGACCTCTTACTGCTTCACCTCTGGCTTCTCTCAAGGCTTCATCTACAATATCAGTGATTTTGTTTCGCTTCTCAACATTTCTATCATCGATTGAAATTTGTTGATTAATTATCTTACCTCGATTTACTAACAATTTCGATTGAGTTTTTCTATCATTGGGTATGACAATTTTATTAGAATCAACCTTGGTCTGATTTTCATAATGTGATACTTTTTTATGGCGTGTTAAACTTTTACTATCAATGGCACCGTTCATTGATTTCTTATTTTCTATTGCTTCTGTAATTGTTCCTTGATTATTTTTTTGAATATGATCGAACTCATTTATTAAATGAGAAATTGCCTTTAACGGATTTTTGGGACTGTTTTCGGGAATATTAATCGTTACTTTTTTGACGGATTTGATTTCATTCTTATCTAATTTCCTTATGTGTGATTTGGAACTAATTACAACTTTCGGGATAACATTTGCTTCAGCTCTGGTGGTATTTATCGTTACGTTTTTTATTTTTGGAAATTCAGCAGTATTATTTGTTTCTTTAAAACTATAAATACTGGGGTTAGACGACGTTAGCTGATGTTTTAGACTAGTGCCGCTGTCACTGATTTGTAACGTTAAGCTTTTGCCTTTAAGAGGATGCATGTTACTTTCATTAGTTAATGAAAAATCACATTTGGAGCTTGAGGAATCAGATGAGTCGACTTTGCTCAACTTCTTCATTAGTTCGTATATTTTATCGATACTTTTCTTACATTCCAAAGATATTAGAGATTTCTTTGTAAAACTCTTATCGCTGTCATTCGAATTTATGATACTTGCAGGAGCAGTATTATGCATTCTTACGGACATGGGGCTTTCGTTATGCCTGCAAAGAATAAATTAAACGATTATAATAAAACAGATATGATCAACAATTACAATAAATAACTGTAAAATGCAATTACTTTTCTTTGCTTATTAAAATATTTGTGGGCCTTAAATTAGTAGCACATGGAACATCATGGAAAGTAAATGAGTTAAAGTCCATAGAAAAGTCATTATTTTTTGCACAGGTGGGTGATATATAGTAGTCTTTGATTATATTGTCTTTTTCGCCACCATTTAAAAAATCTTCATCTACTTTTAAAGTAGCAAATTTCATTATCGGTTTTTCTACACTAGATTCTGATAAAATTTCGGAAGATCCCTTTTGAGAATGATTTTTTATATATTTTTTATTAATATTGGCACTTTCACCATAAATTGAATTATAGAAAGATTTATTAGTTATCGATAATTTAGTAACTGAATTTGAAGGTTGCGCCATTACTGCGCCCTTACCATACTTGTATTTTTTGCCTTTACAGTTTTCACTATGTGCTTTTTTTCTTCTTTCGCGTCTTTCTCTTATTTCCAAAAGCTTTTTCCTTTTCCTTTCCTCAATAAAAAAAGATTTATTTTCATACGGTGATTTTATTCTGACTTTAGTAGGTGATTTCTTTCTGATGGAAGGAAAATCTTCATTTTCTTCTAATAGGGTTGTATGAGTATTAAATTTTTGTATTGAACAAAATAAATCATCGACTGAAGAAGAAATCATATCTGATATCGGTGACTGAGTATCGCTCTCTTTTTCTTCATTGTCGGTATGTTTTATTATATTATTGCAGCAGTTTGATATTTGATCAGTAACTTGCGAAGATATTTTGCTAGTACATAAAACAGAATTTTCAGTTTTTGTTGTTTCTTCATATTGGTGTTCAATATGTAGTTTGGGCATAGGAGAACTTATATCATTTTCTAAGCTACATATGCTTTGTTCTACTTCGTGTTCATTTAACTCAATAGTGGTTACTTTGTTTTGCAACGTATTATCAATGCTTTTAGTTGACTCTAAATAATTGTATTTTAGGGGATACCACGTTTCTGAAATTATTTTTTAGTTGCCATTATAACATTTACATACGAATATAAAATACTATGCTATCTGTAGGGCAAATTCTAAATTCATAAGTTTACGGCAGATCTCCGGCGAATGGCATCGTGGATGTATAGATCCACGACGCCATTCGCCAGATCTTTGTCCGTCGATGTAAATATCACATTGATACCTATAGCTACCAACCAGGTATTTCAAGCACCACACTACACGTTTTTGGAACTGACTAAAATAATAATATCACTAGGAAGTTGAGTTTGATAACTAGCGGTAGCAGTGACATTGTTAATTGCGATTTTAGTGTTGATTTGCCATGTCAGTGATGAAGTAAAATATGGTGAACATCAAAAGCCCGTATTTCTCAGAAACAAAATATTTCGGATACATATGAGATCTACCAACATGCACTGGAGTAGCGTTAAGCGTCTTGCTGGTTCGTCCTTAGACCATTCAACTGGTTCATCCCAGGACAGAGGTTTCTTCGAATCAGTGGTAAAGCTTGAACGACTCGTAAAGTTTTGTTGTAATCTTTATTGAATAAAAGTGATTCTATTCTATTGCTCGTGCATCTAAGGAATGAAAAGAGGCCGGTGCCCAGCCGTGGGACGTAGGTACCTACATAAGCTGCAACTTTATCTTTTAACTTCGCGAGGTAAAGTCATTTAATGATTTCCAATATTTACACTAATATTACACATTGAATTTAGCTAATTTATACTAAAATTAGTTTTACTCACTATATGTTAATTAGTTTTTATAAATGGATGATAGTTTAACAAGCATATTTAATGTGACAAGCCGAATTTAGCACGAAAAAAATTCTCTTCAAGAAGAGCCAGTAAGGAGAAATGTCACCGACCATGCGAAAGAATGATTTTTTATTCAATATAGATTATTGCATAATACTTATTGAAAGTCATATTTAATTAACCTCTGGTTCGGAAAATAATCTCTGTCCCGCGAAGAACCCAGCAAGAAACCTAGCGGGACTTTTTTTTTTAAACATATTTCGCTTTACAATCATTTATTTTGTACAATTTTTGAATGATTTTTGTAGAACCAGTATGGTGGCGATCACCTCATTTTAGGGTTATTTTCATTTACGTATTCTTTGATATTGTTGCGCGCCATAATTAATGCCCGGTATATGGCGGGGGATTATTAGCACCATCGGTATCAAGAAGCAGAAATAGGAGCATCAAGATCTTTCTAGAACTTTCCCACTAGCGCCATCTAGTGTCGAGTGGCGAAGGCTTTCTGGAGGATTCTTTGCTAGAATTTTCGACATTCTACTCGAACATTTTAAATGTTTTCGGTGGAAAAGGTCCAATATAAAGTCGGTATGGAGCGTGACCGAGCAGAATTGAATTGGCGACACAAGCGAAGACTTCGGAGCGAAATAAAGTGAACTAAAGTGTTAAGTGTGATTACTAGTGTGTTTTAAAGCTTTAATTGGTGTTCAGTAATTAAAGTGTCAATTTTGGTAATTCAATCGGCAGTTTTTATTGTCACGAACCCTAGGCACGTAACAATATTATAATAAAGTAATCTTTTTTGTACAATTTTACTTTAATAAAACATTTAAACTTGTTTAATGACAAATTTTGTACATTTTCTGAGATTTTGTTGTGAAAGCGTATACATTGCCCCATAAATGAATCACTAATTCTGTGGAGTCTAGTAACTGGTATTACAAGCTTATGTTTGTTCGATGTCAAAATTAATATGTTTATTTCTTTAAATTTTTCTCTAAGGGACTCTTTACAATTTAAGTTATAAATCGCCCGTACGACCCTTTTGCAAAACAAATATGACTTTAATGTCAGACGCATTATTACGACATTAAATGCATTATATTAATATTATTACGCTATGAAAGTACTTATACATTTTAAGCAAACACATAGAGACAACACTTAACTCGTCTGTGCAATTTCTATCAAAATAAATAAAAATGAAGTGTCTATTCGTCATATTAAAATATCATCTGTTAACTATGCATATGAAAGTATATAGGTATAACAAAAAATAAATGTTTTCAGCTATCTGTCTGTTTGTTCCGCTTCAAAATGGCTCAACCATTTTGGCCTGGTAGATAGCTATGTATAAAACTAACTTACTTTTATTAAAAGAAAACAATTAAGGTTCCGCGAAAAAAATCAAAACCCTTTCTTAAATACGAAATACGATCGCAAAAGATGACATAAGCACAGAAAAAAACACGATTTGTTAGGATCCAAAAGTTATTTTTACATAAAATTACTATTAATTATAATGTTAATAAAATTATGTGTCACGTTGTTTGTCCGCGATGGGCTCCTAAACTACTAAATCGATTTTAATCAAATTTGCACACCGTGTGCAGTTTGGTTCAACTTGAGAGATAGGATAGTGTTTTTTGTCCATGAGTGACCCAAATTTTTTTTATAATATATATATATGTATGTATTAGGGATATAAAATATTATTCTATTTTAAACAAGATATACTTTACCGTTCCTTGGTAACACTTTTTGCAAAATCGTGACAGAATCAATATCAGTTCTTACATTATGCGAATTAGGAAGCTTAAGTTGCACCACGATGTCGTGCCACGACTTCTTATCCACTTTGGATTTCGGTTTCTGGAATGTTTTCTTGCAACAAATAATCAAATTACCATCACTATATTTGCTGAACAATTTGTACGAGCCATGAATTAACCGCGGAATTTCAACAACGATTTTGTTCCTTAAAATTTTAGATAAAGCTCTGATATCTAATTCTGAATATACAATATCGCGCCAAGTATTTTTCAAACTAGTTATATTGCCTTCCACGTGTAACGGATTGCTCTTCGTCTTCATTACAACCTTTGCATTTTTATTTACTTGATCGCTCTTGCGTTCACTCTCCAGCCTTTTCCATTTTTCTCTGGCTTTGTCAGTTAAGTAATCCCCATTACTTATACGTTTTAGCTGATCTATTGTACGATTGACAAACTGAATAACATTATCCATATAAAAGTTGCTATTATCGTCAAAGCGGTTGCTAAAAATGTAATCTAATAGAGAAGTCGACAAAAATGTGGCGCCAAATGTATCAAGATTTGAAACGTTGCGTAATGAATTGAGTTGTTCTTGTACAAAATTGTTTTTATATAAGAATTCTTCATTGTAATCTACAGAAAGATCGGTGTCAATGTTGTAATCACCAAATTTTTGACATAGCGTTTTATCCAAAGATGGCACACTATTTAAGATGTCTAATCGCTCTTTGTTGATCAATACCACATCATACAAATCTTGGTTACAGTAAATTTCACCGATATCACTGTCTTCGGATTCCAGATCTCCATTGTAAATAACGGTTTCAACATGCTGGTTTGGTGTCCTGCGGTCTGGTCTATTTTTCAAGTCTGTCTGCTTTGTGTTATCTGCATTCTCGTAAAGGATAACTAAATCTCTTTTTGATAGTGAAATAACATCTGAAACAGCACATTCTTAAATTTGATAATTTTGGATTTTTATGGTATAAAGTTATGCCATTTTTTGATAGAAGAGGGGGCAAGCGAGCATGCGGCATAAGTGTCGACCGCCGCGATTTTAGTTGTGACTTTTGCTAGTGTAACGTATATCATGAAAGTGACAGAATATTACCCGGTTAAAATTATTGGTAAATAATTTATATTCAGAGAAAAAAATATTAAAAAAGCACCAATAAATGTAAACATAAAATCAATATAGTAAGGTATAAGCAAAAAATATGTTGTACTATAAAAGGATGTAATGCATACGGAATGTATTTAAAATCAAATGAGGGATTGTACAAACACTAAACTAAACGTAACCAAGTCTTACGATTTATAGGATGTAGGGCAAGGGTTACATTTGACTTAAAAAGAAACAAACTAAAAACTTGAATTATGATATAGTTCTACTCCCAGTGTATCGTGCCAACGCTGGGTGCGTTACCTCACTGTATGGTTATATTTAGCCTTGCGAGAAAAGAACCAGCCCTCTTATCACCAGCAACGACTACCAGTCGCAAATACAGTTCCTATAGAAGCTTCACCGCACGTGAACTCCACGGGCCGATAGTCTCACGCCAAGGGCACAAATATGTATTCATCTCACAGACTAATATTTGTGCCACTTAGTTCAGCTGCCCCTGATGCCGCCCTGGCTCTAAACGAGGGAGATACCCCTAACCAGCAGGCTGAAAAGGGTTCTACGCAAATAGCGTCTCACACTAGGGCTTTACATTTACATCTCTCCAAAGGGACCAAATTCGTACCGTCGGTTCCTATGCCATTGTCAACATTTAATTAGTATAGAGTGCATGTTGTGACAATAAAACATCAAGTAAAACCAATAAAGATGATACGCGAGGTTATTGAAATTAAAAAACATCCTAATTTCAATGGAGAAGATGGATGGGTGCTGCCATCTGCTTGGGATCCTATAATTAACTAAATTAAATCCAGAACCAAGCATTCCACTGCAAGACTTTAAGATACTGTAAGCTCCTTCTGCGTAGATCGGACCAAAAATTAAAATTTACAAACTGAAGGTAGCCGGGCACTGACCTCTATAATATATAGAGGTCAGTGTAGCCGGGCTTTGTGACATTGGGACGTCAAACATTTCAGCCCCCCCCCCCTCGTGACCATGGGTGCTGTAAATCACTCGAAACGTCGGGAATAAAAAAAATTAAATAAAAAAGATAAGTTAATTAAACGTTATAAAATTCGAATATATGGTTTTATTCAATGTGTAGTGTTCTTGTCAAAGACATTTAATATTTAGATAAATCTCTTTGGTTCGCGTAATTGATTTGGCATTTGATTGGCATTTAGTGACAGATGAAAAACTGTCCTGTGTATGTGTGATAGCATTGTAATTGTATCGACTTAAAATATGAACCTATTTTTTATTTATATACATGTAAAATATATTATATTTCATTAACAATACCGAAACTAGAATTTGTTTCTTTTAAAACATCATAGACTCACTCTCTTCCTCTGATATTTCTTTTCTCTTAGGCTCTTCGTTGTTATACTCCGTCAAATGGCTGATTATCATTTTTTACCACACACAGATTTTATAGAAAACTTACAAAGTTTTTACAAAGGAAAAACAAGCTAATAAACGCGTATAAAACACAATGCTTCGTAAATAGTGCTCGAAAAATTTCAAGTAAGCATTTTTAGGAAAGCGTTTTGCAAAATTTGTCAAAAAGTTCGTAATTGGAATATTCAGACCACTTTTGATGTATGTTTGACATTAAATTTTTTTTAAACCAGTACCTATGGATCTAGGCATGTCTTTGCGTAAACTTTTAGGCTGTAATTACATAAGGCCTTTGTTTGCCGATCTGGCGCCGACAGGACTTTTTTCAAGACAGGTAAATTGTATATAGGACATTAATATTTACTATATAGGTAACTAAAAGGTCTTAATTCATCATCATTACAGTTCTTCATAACTCCACAGCTGAACATGGGCCTCCCCCAAGGAATGCCGTAAAGCACGGTCCTGAGCCACCTGTATCCGTCGACTTCCTGCATGTCTTACCAGGTCACTACATCTAGGGGGCCGCCCTACACTTCGCTTTTCGGTACGATGCTGTCACTCGAGAAACTTTATTCCTCATCGGATGTCGGTTCTTCGAACTCTATGGCCGGCCCATTGCCACTTTACTTTAGTAATCAGTTGGGCTATGTCGATCACTCTGGTTCTACTGCGGATATCCTCATTTCTAAGTTTATCACGTATGAGTTTATCATCAGAGAAACCCCGAGCATATCCATCTCCATAGTTACTGAGCGACCTTGAGCTTCCTCATACGGACAATAGTGAAGGACCACGTCTCATCACTGGCAACACACAAAATTAGTTGTACAATCTTGTTTTTAAGTATGAGTAATGAGGTTTACCTATTGAGCTATAACTGACGAGAAGAGATGTCATACATATAAACACACAGGAACAGCTAGACTAGTTTACTTTAGCTATTTCCATAGCATGATGTATGGTATTTTGCTGTCTATGATTTAAAAGCAAAAGAATCGCTCAGACCAAAATTTAAGGAAATTAATATATTAACCTAAGCCACTTAATACATTTTATGAAAATTTAATATACGTACACAAAAATAAAAGTGGTTTTACAAAAATAATCATGGGCGGCGGTAGTCACTTAACATCAGGTGAGCCGCATGCTCGTTTGCCCCCTCTTCTATAAAAAACAAACAAACCTTACTTTCACACTGTAAGTGACTTCTAGGCATAAACTGTCATCGACTAAGTGAGTATATAGACGGTAAGTAGAATACAAAGTTATGACAAAAATATGGTACTTTATTGTAAGCATACATCAAGTTATCAGTAATGCGTACAAATTGTAAAGATGTAAAATTTTATAAATATAGAATAAAATATAATGATTTCACATAAAAATAATATAGGTATGGTTTAATGTATATAATTAAAATGTCTATAGAAGTGTTAGACAATTATTTTTGTAAATTGAAATAATTAATTATTAAAAACTAAATAAAACGTGTCGGTGTTTTTCTCGACCACTTTTAGTTACTTTTCGCAAACCGTTATCGGTTTGGACTGTGCCATGGTCTGACGGTTTGGTGTTTGCTGAACCTCTCCGAGATGAATCTTCATTTGTATGTTCCTCTAGCGGTAATGAGTACGGCGTGCTTTTCTGTGCCTTGGCTCCGTTATCATCAGCTAATAGATAAGCTGGCTTTAGACGATCTACAGAGTTATTCGCTCGTCTATCATTGATTCGTATTTCGTAAACCTTGTTCCCTCTTTTGATGACTCGATATGGGCCATTATATGTGGGTTGAAGAGATTTACGAACTGCATCGTTTCCTACGAAAACATATTCACTCGATAAAAGGTCGGGGTCAATAAATATAACGCGAATTACTATGACTTTTTGCAAGCGGATTAATTTTCTTAATTGTGTCGCGAATTTTCTCAACTAATGCTTCTGGACATGGATTATCATTACTAGTATTTTCAAAGAAATCTCCAGGTAATCTGAGCGCGTGACAATATACCATCTTCGCTGGATTAAATCCGTAGTCCAACTTAATCGCTGCACGTAACCCTAGCATTGCATGATGTGGAGTCCAAGCGAGCAGCGATTGCCACCTTGAATGACCGGTGTCATCGCTCGACGGCTCCATTGCTTTGTGGGTGATATGGAGTGGTGCGTATTTCGTATTTCTACCCCCTAGTGGTGCATAAGGCGAGTAAACAACGAGCTCTCGAATTGCCTACCTTGGTCGCTAGTCAACCTATGCGTACAACCAAAACGAGTAATCCAACCCTCATATACAATACGTGCAGTACGGTGTCCGCAGTCTGATCCCTAACTGGGAATGCTTCAGGCCATTTCGTACACCTATCTATAATTGTCACACAACACCTAAAGCCTTCTGATGAGGTAGGTAGAGGACCGACTAGTTCTACCTGTATATGCTAGAATCGATCACATACTGGATACTCCTGTAGGTGAGATACCGTGTTGCGCTGTACTTTGGTACATTGACATTTAGCACACGTTTTAACCCAGAGACCTATGTCTCTATTCATACCGGGCCAAAAGAATTTTTGAATAACCATCCTACGTGTGGTGCGTATGCCGGGATGGCTTAAATCGTGTACGCTATTGTATGCAATTCGACGAAAAGCACTAGGCAGGTAGGGTCGAATATGTTCGGTTGAAACGTGACAATATACTTGTTTATTATAATTAGGTATGTCAAAAACTTCAAGCGAACATTGTCATTCGATCCAGAGTTGATGTACTCATCGTGCGATTGCGCTTCTGCTAATGCAGTGTAGTCGATTGTTGTTGCACACACTATTGTCTACGCGCGATAATGCATCAGCTACGATGTTATTAGAACCATCTATGGGTCGAATGTCAGTAGTAAATTCGCTAAAGAACATTAACTGCCTAGTATCTACCTTTAAGGGACTTCATCCTATTATTAATTGGGCATCGCTAGGACTGGTTACGACCATGCGAAAGTGATCGGTTTCTACCAAACTGCCGCTGTTTTGGCCTTGAGTGCTCCAAAGAATACAAACATATTAAGCCTTCTGCCGATCTTGGCAATCTCTTCGAGGATTTTATCGCTGGAGATCTGCGCCTTGTCTGCTAAGTTCGCCAAGTTCTCCAGGTTTTTCATATCCATCACTGCGAGTACCGCTCAAGCTGCTGGCAAGTGCCATTGCCATAAAATACGAAGAGATGAAATACAATTTCCCACGCGCCAGGTCACGAATACGACGGAGTAGCTGTGATGGTTTTTACTCGCCCAGGTCCATTTCGCCTATCAGTTTTAGTATCTGGCGACTTTCCGATTCTTCATATACTGCTAAAAGTCTCTATTTCAGAACCCCATACTATTCTTAGCTCGGAGGCTGGAGTAAGAGATCGGTGACCTGCTGTATGTCCTTGGCCATCTTAGTAATGACCAGATGATACCTCGCCTCATCTCCGAGTTTCTGATTAGCTGTTACTGAGTCTGTCCAGAATTCAGGTATTCGAGATGACACTGTTATCTGTGACAGTTCCACCGGGGAGGGTCCGGGAGTTGGTACGGGCATTGGTTGGTATTTCGGATTCATTGTTTTATTTAATTGCACTTCACACTAATTTAAGTTCAAATTCAAAGTTCGGGGTCAGCACTGTGCAGGTCGTTTTTTTACTGTGTGTGTGAATTAGAGCGTTCCTGCATCAAATCAGGCCGATAAATAAAAGTCACTGGTTTACACTGTTTATCTTATGAATCCGACACATTTACATTTTTGACTGATATCCGCACTTAATTAAAAACGGGCGCATTGGCGAGTCGCTAGCGACGACTGCCCGCGAGGGGGTTGCGCAGGTGCTCAGGTTACATATTATCATTGTCATGTCGCTACATGAGCATAAGGACTATATCGTCGGCAAATCAAAGGCGAGTGATGTACCTTCTAGCCACAGAAAACCGTTTTCTTGAATAAATGTTGGCTCTGGCTTAGGACCCCAATTTAGGACCCACGACGCAAACATTAAATGCCACGAGATGACGAAGGGGCACTGTTTGATTAGATGTCAGACAGCCCTAAGCTGACTATAAATGTATCCGTCCCTCCTCCCAAAGGCCTGTTCTGTCTATGCCCAGCCCACGAATACATTTACTAGATAAAATTAAATTTTCCCGACAATAAGAGTCTGCCATCACCCATGAACAACCGAAACGGCAGGGAATTTGCACCTGATTGCCGGCCTTTTTAAAAGGAGTATGCTCGTTTCTTGAAAGTCTCTAAGTTGTATCGGTCCTGAAAAGGCGTCGAATGAATCGGCTCCCCCAGTAGTAGTTGATTTCACAAAGAAGTCTTGGCAGAAAGAAAACTCCTAATAAACCGCACAGTCACGATAAACCGCAAAGCATCCAGATGGTGGACGGTACTGTGAGTTTTGTCCCGATATACGTTGGTAAAATTTGGCTGTTGGAATTAATCCGAAGAATTTGTGTATTTATTTCCTGTGGAAAATGCGATAGAAAATGCAATGGGATGCAACATCTCTTCGCAACGCCAATGAATAAAGCCGATCACAAAGAACTCTGTCGTGGTCTATTCGAGCCACTTTTCGCTGGATGCGATCAAGTGGAAGGAGCTGGCGTTGGGGTGCCCCAGTCCAGAAATGAGAACAGTAATCCATCTAAGGGCGAACTTGCGCTTTGTAAAGTTTCCAACGGTGTGCCGGCATGAAATAATGTTTCGACCTACTGACCACGCCTAGCTTTTTAGAGGCTAATTTAGCTTTCCCTTCCAAGTGACCGCAGAACTGAAACATTCGATATGTCTATGCTGAGGAGGGAGTGCCCTGAAATCGAGGAGATACGACAAAGGGATTGTTTTAGGGGTAAACTTAGTGTTCTGAAGTTTAAACTGGACTAGAAACGTCCTCAATCAGAGATTTTATTTATTTAAGACTCGACTTTAGACACCAAGTTTTTTCCGATACTCTAATAATGTGTTACCGAAAAATATTAACAC